CCCGCCACATTTTTTTTGTTTAAAAAAAATTTGTTTCAGTGTTTATTTATTTTTGAGACAGAAAGAGACAGAGCATGAGCAGGGGAGGGGCAGCGAGAAAGGGAGACACAGGATCTGAAGCAGGCTCCAGGCTCTGAGCTGTCAGCACAGAGCCCGATGTGGGGCTCAAACTCGTCAACTGTGAGATCACGGCCTGAGCTGAAGTCAGATGCTCAACCGACTGAGCCACCCAGGTGCCCCCCGCTGCACTCTCTTTGCCACATTTTTCTAGTGAGCTCCCACTTCCACTCCCGAGACCACTCAAGGGCCCTAGCCATGCCCTCACCCTCAGGGAGTGAATTTTCTTCCCGAGCATCTGAGGGGACAGCAGCTCTCAAAAGGGCTGCTGCCCCTGCCTTTTGACCACCCAGCCCTCCCCTCCTGCGCTATCCCTGTTGTCCTTACTTGAGCCACAGCAGAGAAGTGTCCCTTCACATGTGCACTGGACCCACACCCTCCAACCTCCTCAGGTTCGTAGCTCCCTAATAATCTTGCCTTTTCCCTCCATCTTCTCTCTCTACTGACTGTCTTCATCAGGATACCGACACCCACTGTTCTCTTGATGTTCATCTCCTTGCAACCCATCTTCCCTTCTTGCTTCCCTAAAATTCAGTCTCCATACCATGAGCTTTATAAAACATAAGTTACTACCATTCCCACTTAAATGCCTTCAACAGCTTCCCAAGGCATTTGGAATATCAAAATCGAGTTTCCTTCCCATGGCCTGTGGCTGGCCCTGCCCGATCTTCGGTCACTCACATTTCCTTTTGCTTCTTTAGGAAAGTGAAATCCTTTCCTGTCCGAAAGCCTTATTCCATTCTCTCTGCCTGGAATGCTCTTCTCCCCACTTTTCAAATTTTATACTCCTTTGAAACCTTTAGCTCTGCTTAAGAAGCCTTCCCTGACATCCTATGTCCACAGTCTTCCTGTTTTTCTCTTATCTGCCTCCTATTCATTTTGGTTTGGCCAAACTCATTCTGATTTGTAATTACACATCTGCGTGTTTACTTGTTTACTTTCTGTCTCTTTCGTTAGCTTTACAACCCACGAGGGCTATGATTATGTTTCCAGTGACAGCAGAGTGTTTGGTACAAAGAAAGAACTCTGCATGAAATAACAGGGAAGAGAGGCTGTGTTTGGGGGTTCACAAAGTGGTGACCAGCTGCTCCCCTGATGGAATCTTCTGCTTCTCCTTATCTAAGCCAATTTAGCATAAAAGTAGTTTGTCACGGGCGTCGTGGTGGCTCAGTCAGTTGAGCGTCCGACTCTTGATTCTGGCTCAGGTCATGGTTTCACTGTTTTGTGCGTTCAAGCCCCACGCAAGGCTCTGTGCTGGAGGTGTAGAGCCTGCTTGGGATTCTCTCTCTAGTCCTCTCTCTGCCCCCCCCCTGCTTGCGCTCTCTCTGAAAAATAAACATTTATAAAAAAGGTAGTTTTTCACATTTGCAGCATCCAGCAGCTTTGTGAATTCGTTTTGTTTTGAACTCTAGTGGGAAGCCACCCCGTGATCCCTCCATGTACAGAATACTCGGTGTCTAATACTGCTTTAAAAAACGTCAAGTACAACAGCAGTGTAATATGGTGCAAGGAACACAGGCTTGAGAGTCCTGACCTAGCTTTGCTCTTTGGTTCTCATATTGCTTTTGTCACTCACAGACTTTGTATCGGTTTCCTCATTTGTAAAACGAGAGAACTCCGCTTAGAAGAGAGAAGAGTCCCTTCCAGTTCGTATGCTTTTGGCTGCAGGTTACCAGTAGCTTCAGAAATCGATATTTAATGATCTCTTAACTAGAACGTGGAGCCGCAGCCGTGATGGTTCTGGGGTTTCTTTCCTTCTGCTTTGCCATTTGCTTTGTCTCCAGGCCAGCCCGCGTGGTCATAAGATAGTTGCTGCAGCTGTAGGCACCACAGCCTCCCGTAAGAGCATCAAGAGCAGAAAGGGATGGGCATGCGGAAGGGCTCTCCTCATGGGTCTCCCTCCTTTCATCAAGAAGTAAACATCCTTCCCGGAAGTACCCTCGCAGACTTCCTTTTGTCTCGTTGACCAAACCACCTCATTTATCCCCCCTAGACCATCTCCTACAAGAGGATTTGCTTAGCCAATATACAGTTCATCCCGGCTCAGGACTAGCCTATATTCAACAGTACTTGATTAAATACAGTTGAGTCCTGTGAACAACAAAAGAGAACGGGCAGCACTGTTGATCTCTGAGGACCTGCCTCATAAATCTAAATTCCTGTGATTCTAAGTGCCTGGCTTTTAGGGAGGCTGCCTTGTTATCCTGCAGAGACTAATAGCTTCTCTGGTGAGGTAACGGACAGGAATAACATTTTTGTAAGGAATGGCTGTACATTCCTGAATGAGGAAGGGAACAGAAAGGGTTTAGAAATAGATGGATTTCTTGGCTAAGGAAAATTCAGTGAGCAACTGAGCCCAGCAGGTCGTTTGTAGTAAAGGCCCCACAACTGAGCTGCCAATTGCTGAGAGCTGCCCTTCTTGGGAGCAGAAAAGATTAGGGATCATGGTCACTTACCAGTCAAGGTCTCTGTTAACCTCCTCAACAAACGGTACTGGTTCTCCTGACTGTCCAGGCCATAGCATCAGGTATTCCTAAGTAGAATCTTCTTTTAAACCGATTTGACAACAAATCAGATATGTATTCATAATGGCCATATAATTAAGAACCCACTATATATGTCAAACACCGTGCTAGGCCCTGGGATACCAATACAAAGGGACAAGGTCCTAGTCCTCAGGAGGTTGACATTCTAGTTGAGGGGAAAACACACATAACAGATAAACAAGCTGTATGCCAGGTGTGTGTCTGGGGCCAGAGAGTGGGAGTGGCGTCAGCCTGAGAGGTGATCAGGACAGGAGGTGAGCCTTGAAATAGGAACAGGTGTTTCATCGGTGTTGCGAGCAGCATGGGCCGGGAGGGAGCCGCTGGCTAGGCATGGCAGGCACTGGGTAGGTGGGGCTGAGGCCTGGAGGGTTCTGTGGGTCATGCTGAGAAGTATAGGCTTTATACTGCAGGCACAGGAAATTGGACACTTCCCGTAGACAGGTCTTAAGGTAACGTGTATCGAATTAGCTCCCCATTTTCTTCCTAGAGGTTAAGGAAGGATTTTCTTTCATTTCCTCAATACGTTACATTGAATACATATTATTGATCAATTATTAATAGCCAACTTTATAGCTTTGCTGTTAACCATATGTGGACTAGTTCATGGCAGAATGTCTACATTGTGTATTGTGATTTCTCGCAATTTTAAGTAAGGTTTTAAAGGTTTAAAATTACTAAGAGTGATTTCATATTTGCTAAGTTATTTCCCAGTTTTTATCCACTTTGCTGCTAACAGAGAGACGGGCATCACCAGAAGTGTTGTTCTCTAGCAGTTTCCAGAGGTATTCAGGGAGGATTCTTCCCATCGTCTGGGACAGATCTCTTGTGTATTTGTGGAGGACCAGAAGGATTCTTGCCCAGAGCCACCAAGGAGTGGTGACTCCTGGGGGCTCCAATTCTCACTTCTTCAACTTTAGTTCAGATGGCACCTTACTGATGAAGCTGCCTTGGAACATCCTCTCGAAAACCGCAGTCCCTGCCAGTCTTGGTCTTCCTTACTCAGCTTTTTCTCTTTTCACACCACACCTCTCCTTCTAACATATCATACAACTTACTGATATGTTTGTTGTTCATTATAAGTCATCTCCCCCCCCCCACTAGAATGTAAGCTTTTGAAAAGCATGGATCTTATGTGTTCTGTTTACTGATGTAGCTCACCACTTTGAGCAGCGCCTTATAGAAGACCTGTGCTCATAAGTCGGTATGTGGGTAATTAGAAAGCACCCTCTGAGACTTCTCCCACTTCCCACTGACCGTTGTGGTCAACAGAGATGAGCTAGTAAGTCAAGAATGAAAATCTTATTGAGCTTGTTAGAGCAAAACCGTTCATACTGATTTTGCAGGTATCATGTTGAGGGTAAAAGGCTGTGGTGCCCTTTGAGGGTGAACCTGAAAGGTTGTCATGGGGAAAGGCCATGGAACAAAAGCAGAGGTGGGGGTCTTGGACTCTGGTTACAGAGTACTGCAAACTGACGATAACAGATGATGTTCTTTTGGACAGGTATAAGAGTTTGGTCACTGGGCCCCGAGCGAGAGGAGTCATTGCTGGCCTCTGGGTCCTTGCCTTTGGCATCGGACTGACTCCATTCCTGGGGTGGAACAGTAAAGACAGTGCCATCAACAACTGCACGGAACCCTGGGATGGAGCCACAAATGAAAGCTGTTGCCTTGTGAAGTGTCTTTTTGAGAATGTGGTCCCCATGAGCTACATGGTCTATTTCAACTTCTTTGGGTGTGTCCTGCCCCCACTGCTCATTATGCTGGTGATCTACATCAATATCTTCATGGTGGCCTGCAAGCAGCTTCAGCGCACTGAGCTGATGGACCACTCAAGGACCATCATCCAGCGGGAGATCCATGCAGCCAAGTCCCTGGCCATGATCGTTGGGATTTTTGCTCTGTGCTGGTTGCCAGTACATGCCATCAACTGTGTCACTCTTTTCCAGCCAGCTCGGGCTAAGGATAAGCCCAAGTGGGCAATGAACATGGCCATTCTCCTGTCACATGCCAACTCAGTTGTCAATCCCATCGTCTATGCCTATCGGAACCGAGACTTCCGCTATACTTTTCACAAAATCATCTCCAGGTATGTTCTTTGCCAGACAGATGTCCTCAAGAGTGGGCATGGGCAGCCAGGGGTGCAGCCTGCTCTCGATGTGGGCCTATGACCTAGGTCCTGGCCTCTTTAAGAAGGCATAAATTCACAATAAAGGGACAGACAGGACGTGACCAGCCGATTCCCATTGTTAAAGACAGCTACACCTTGTAAGCATATGGGCTGCCTCTTTTAAGTACTCCCCTGGAGTCACCACATACCTAGCTAATATGTACATGTTATTAGTAGGCTCCAAAGGCTCACAAATGTATTTATGGTTCTTTCTGGATGCTCCCACTGTGTGGATGATGCTGATGGCTTGAATGGATTACAAAAGACTTTTTTTTTTTTTTAAGAGTCTGCCTCTTTTTTGGTAGAAAATGAAACTATTTTACTGTGAAACACTGTGAACTATTGTAATACAAATATTTTTTAATTTAGAAGCAATGGAAAAACAAAAGTTGGACATACTAAAAATACATACTTATTCCTAGGAAGGTGACCAGGAAAATTAAAAGTTTAATTCTTCAGTCAAGAAACTGCTGTATTTATTTGGGGAAATGACACTCTAATAAGTTCTGAAGTAGAATATCAGATAACAATTTTCCTAACATTCTTCTCCGCATACTGCAAAGCCATACCCTAGAGGAAGAAACTGGAGAAATGGGATCGATCCCTCCTCTTCCAGACTGCGTCTTCCCCTTCTAGAGTTAGGCAGTGATTTTTAGTTCTCTACCAAGCTGACGTTTGGCCAAGTTGCTGGAGCCCAAGTGTGAAAATTTTAGTAAGTAAAATCCTAGAACTGTGTATGTGTATGACATGAAATAAAAATAAAACTTAAAAAACCAGCTCAGGGTGCTGAATCTACCTTCTATTCTTTGTTCTAAAGACTGCTTAAAGGGAGAAGTTTATACCCAGCCCAAGCTTCCCAAGTAGGAAAGTCCTGACAGCTTTTGTGTGCTGCGCCTCCACGGAACCCAAGGCTCTGGCCACCAGAGAACGCTGCACCGCCTGTGAGCCGGTCACACGGCTCTCCAGCACCTGCACCTCGTGTTTCCTGGGCCGTAAAATCTCTCCCCTCTGTGTGTTCACTGCTGTAATATCTGCACAAGGAAGCTGCAGGTGTGCAAGCCCCGCAGACAGCATGCCTGGCCTTCCAGGCTCCCGTTCTGGCCATGAATGGCTTTCCTTAGGAAGTTCTTCTGGGCTGAGGTGGCCTCATCTTCACTGCCATCTGTCCTTACCCCTCACTCTCTCGGGGTCCAGACGAGTCCCATCTCCCTCCCTTCTAAAACTCTCCTCTTGGAGTCTCTTTTCCATTTTCTTGTTCAGACTGGAAATCCTTGGTGGTTTCTCTACTTCCTTCAGGGCATGACTTTGTCTCTTCCTTCATTTGGCTTCTTATAAAGCTCAGAAACGCACGCAGAGCAAAACCAGCCCTTTCCTTGCTTCAGATACACGTTTCTAACAATACAGCTTCTGTAAGCTTTTTTGGCAACACCACCGGGAGCTAAAGCTCAGTGAAACTAAAACCCCGGAGTCTTTTTATAGTTGCTGCTGCTTAGCCATAGCTCTGCTCTGCTCTTTTGTTGCTGCAGAGTGATTCCCTGGACCCAAAGAAAAGAAGTAACACTTAACTCATCTAAATTTTTTCTTACCAGTTTCATCTACCATTCCAACCTCTTAAAAATTACTAAGTACTTCAGTAACTTAATCTAATTGCAGACAGGGTGTGATAGAGATTAGGGTTTGTTTGAGTCTAAAATGCTTGATTCCACCTCAGAAATTTATCCAAGGGCCTCACAGGCGGGTTCTGATTTTCCAGAAGAACTGTACAGAACTTCAAACCATACACACATCCTGGGTTGCAACTCACAGTCTCTTGTCCAGGAGGGAAGAAGGACAGTAACAAGAAGTCTCCAGAAGATTATTTCACCTCTCTTCCACATGAACCACGTGTTTCCTGGTGGGACTTCTATTTTGAAAGATAATGATGCTTAATCTATACCTTTTATGCTTTTTGTTTCTTCTCTGCAAATAATACGTCTGTCAGTTGCTTGTCAGAGACCTTCAGCTGTCGGCAGGTCCCTGTCACCTGGCTAAGATAAACTGCCAAGAGATGCTTGCACTGGAATACAAAACACAACTCTGTTAATCGGCAGGGCCGAGATAACCAAGACCTGTCACTACATTTAGTAGGAAAGCAGTGGGCACACAGATTAAAGACTTGCTGCCTAAAAACTGCAGATAAAGGTGACACAAATGTATTCGTTTCTGGAAATCAGAGGGGATAAAGGAAGTTTTGCTTTGCCTGTTGTTTTGGGAAAGTTTAGGCCCAGCTGGCACAGGGTGGATCACCCACAGTGAGAAGCAAGACAGGCCCCTCATTGCAGTCTTTGGCTCTGCCTCTTTCTTCCGGCCTTCAGAAAGCTATTCGCAGCGATGGTGAACGTTCCTTGACCTACCGTGTTGCTCAGTGCTTCCCACAGACTGTCTCACTTAAACCTGTCAGCTACCCCATGAGGACAGGTCTTATCCCCATTCTACCCATGTGCCCAGAGTCTACGCTCCCTTAACCACTGTGCTGTGCTACGGGGGAGGGTGGTGAGCAGAACCCTCACAGACAGCAGCCTGTGGGGAAGTGCTGCGCCTTATGTCACAGAACACACAGCTTAGATACTGCAGGGGCCCTAATTTAATCCTGTCATTTTACAGGTGAAACAAACTTAGGGCACATCAGCTGCAAATGCGGCCTTTCAACAATCAGATGCCCAACTTCCCACCGCCATTCCCGAGATGTTTACAAAGTTAACAGTGTAAAAGAAAGGGGAAGAATGGAGTGGATACTATAATCTTCCTTGGGAAGACTGACAAAATAGCTACCTGCTCTTAGGTGGGTAATGCTGTTCTCCTTTGGAACAAGGAGTTGTGTGAGTATGTCTTGCTCCTGCTTGGTGCTCTGGGCTCCTGTGAAATCGGCAGAAATATCAATGTGCTCTCCTGCCCTGTGGTGAAAATCAAGTATGGCTAAGTGCCAGGCTGTCTTATGGGTGTAGTGGGAAGAAATACCTCGTAGCTGAGTTGGGGATATGCAAAGTCGCCAGCAGTCACTTTAGTTCATATTTTTGTCGGGCCGTCTAATTCCCCAGTGCCAACTTTCAAGATTACCTTGTTGCCCTCCCCAAAGTTTCACCTGTGACCTTTTAAATAAACAATTGGGAAATGAATGTAGATCTAAAAAATGACAGTGCATTTTGGGAGGGTAAACCCAAAAGACAGGACTGAAATCCAGGACAGTAAACCGTTTGCTTCAACAGGTAGTAAAAATTCTCACTTTGTACAACTCAAACCATGCTAAGGGGGCCAAGAATTTCCCTCCTAATTCGACTGCAGTGGGAAGAGGCTTCCCCATCCTCACCAGCAAGCTGTCACTCTTCCGCAGCACGGAGAAGGCAAACGCAGGACATGAACAGTAATGACAAGAAGCCAAACATGTGTACGTTTTACCAGAACTTCCAAGTACCTACAAAGGAAAGGACAGATGGGATCAGACTGCAAAAGGTGCGCTGGAAAAGCGCTTCCCTCCCCTGAATTTATCCGCCTGATGACTCAGAGCAGCTCTGCAAACCGTACTGGGAAGGGCTGCGGTAACGTCTTACACAAAAGTGAAAACTCAACTTCCTCATGTACAGGTTCTGTCCTTGAGGACTTCAGACCACGAAACAGGAGTTTCAGGCTAGTTAAACCATCCACATGAGCCATTTTGTTCCTCCATCTAGTGATTTACAGGGTCCACTCCATGGGCTGCCTAGAAAAGAGGTGGACGGGAAAGGTCCCCTCAGATACACATTATTGTGGTGTTTCTCAGCCTTTGGTATTGCACAACATGTGTGTACATTTCTGAAGCTTCCGCCGCACACCTAAACAAAGTGTGGAACAGGTAAAGAGCAAGCAGTGAGGCAGAAATACAGGTCTTCCAGAGAAAGTAGGAAAGGCCTCTTGAAAACCGTTTGAGAGCAAGGAGAACAAATAAAGCAAAGAAGCCTGCAAAAGGGATGACTCAGCTGCTCAGGGTGGAGGTCTCAGAACGAGGCACGCCTGGATCTGCCGATTCACCTAGCAGGATGGCAAGAGGACGCAGATAGGAGGAGGGGTTGGTAAGAGGCCTAGTCCAAGAACACATCGCCTTGTTGGCAGGCAAGGGACAAAAAGGAGACGTACAGTGAAATTATGATGTGTCTGTGGTGGACAAACTTGTCGGAGAAATCACTTGTTTAAGCCTCTCTACCACCAGGGAGCCCAAACCAAAAATGTTAAGGGCTTCACTCCTGGAGTTAATTTCCAAACTGGAAGTGTAAAATCAGTATCCGAGGAAGCAGAAACATCCTGAGGGTTATTTTACCGTGAGATGCCACTTAGGAATTTGCCACAGGGCTTTCAAATTAGTTTTAGGCTCCAAGATGGCAATCTGAATGAAAAGGCCAGGATGAAAAAAAAAAAAAAAAAAAAAAAAAAAAAAAAGTCAGCACTCCTAAGATTCTTCCTTCTTTCTCCCCAACAAAGAATAAAGCAACAGGTAAGGCTTCAACAGAATAGCAGTGTTCTAAGTGTCATGCTCGTTTGTCAAACTGACAGCAGCTAGAAAGCAGACTGTTTTCCACTTAATCCTGGGGAAAAACCCAATATCCAGCAGTGACATGAACAATTCTTAGGTCTCCAACTATTACTGATGAATAAAACTTTAGATTTCTTCCTTTATCTCCTATGTTTCTTCTCCCTGGATTTAAATTTAAGCAGGCACAAGCCTCTGGAATTCTACACTCACTTGAATGGTTCCTCAGCTCCCTTCTTTTTGTGGGTCCCCAATCCATGAGAATACCCTGGATGATGCTGAATAAATGCCAGGTGACTTAGGGATGGGAAGAAATTCTACAGAGGTTCCCTTGCCTGACGCTTTCAAAGGCTGGCTGAGACTAAAAGTAAAATGTTCAAGCGTCCAAGGCAGTAAACACTGTTGTGATAGCAAATTTTGAATTTGCTTCTTCCTTATCTAGCATCAGATGACTAATAAACCCAATAATAAGGTAAAAATCTGAGTCAGAAATGATTAGAACTGGAAATTGACCTCAGGGATCATCTAATTCAATTGCTTTATCCTCCAATGGAAAAATGACCTCCTCTTACAGGAAGTGCCCCACTTCTCCCACTCATAGTCTGGAATGTTCATCCCCAGAAGGAGAGATTTTAGAAAAAAGTAACACGTGGGAAATAGGATACTGAGACCCAAGAGCAGACTCGTATGAACTTCACTTGGAGGACGTCTGCTGTGGCTCCAGTTGGGTTCTAAGAAGTATGACCCACCTAGATGGGCATCCATTCACAAGTATAGTTTTATTTTATGATTGCTCCAAGCCTTTTAGGAGCCATCATAGTGCTAAATGTATTATTTATTGTTTCCTGTGTTCGGTGCCTCTCTCTGAAAGAAGATTATACATTCCTGCCCTATTAAATACCCCTGGCTATGTGACCTGCTTCAGCCAATAAAATGTGAGTAGCCAAGCAGAAACATTAAAGATTGGCACACACCACATCCTCTTTTCTCTCTGCTGTGAGATCCACAATATTCCAGAGAAGGACTGCCACACCAGCTGGGATCCCTGCGTGACGATGTTTTGGAGCAGAGCTGCAATGAACTCTCAGTGGATATGAGGCATGAACGAGACACAAAACTTTGTTTTCATGAGCCGCTGGAATTTGTTAACCACAGCATAACTTAGCCTCTCCTGACCGATGCCTCCCCCTCCCTACCTGAACCAAAAAAGTTTACAGAAAAGCGACTCAGGTGACAACAACATAGTGGTGACTTTGCAATAATTACCACTGTACCTGGAGGAGAACAGTGCGAGTATCAGGTTGACCTATGGAAAGAGACTAGCAGGATATCAAGATAGTGTCTGACTCAACTTTTATCATGTCAGAGAACCTCTGACTAAAGCCAAATTCTGACTATGTTAGTATACAAGGAAACCATTAAGGTTAAATTGAGGGTGGACGTAAGATTTCTACAGCTTCATTTAATTCAAAGTCCAAGCTGAAAGCCACAGTACTAGGAAGTTAGCATTTTTATGATGAATAAAGCAATGTGATATGGTACAGGCTGGGAATGAGGGAAGTTAAGTAAGCTGTGGCAACCTTGGAAGAAACAAGGCAACGATAATGAAAATATCTCAAACAAAATCTTTCAGACTTTAAGTAATGACCAGATCACAGAACTAGAAGACTAGAGGTGCAGGTCAGGTGTAATGCTAACACTGGAACGGAGACAAAAAATCAAACTAAACGATGTGGGAAAAACTCACAGGCCCTTCTTGTTCCGGGTACTTTAGCTACATAGAAACCCCCAATAAACACACTAGGCAGAGAAATGGAAAAACCTCGTCAGGCACGATATCATTTAATAGCTGTGATCTGTTAAGCCTTCTGTCCTCTAGGTCTGTGACCTAGTCATTACTTAAAATCTGAAAGATTTTGTTTGAGGTATTTTATCTGCTAAGTTCGCCCCGACAAAATTCTAACAGGCAGCCTCTTTTAAGTAAATACGACCCGAAATTTCTAACTGCGGCACTCAACATTAGTCACATCATTTTCCTTAATGAAGAAATGAATGAAGATTTTGGCAGACTGGTTAAGTTATGCTACCATGTGAAACGGCAGGTTAATTCACTAACCAAAGGCACCAAGCAGGCTTTGCTCATTCTCTCACTAAGAATTAACGGACATGGTCTCAGCTCTGAGAAGTTCATCATAAATAAACCAGAATCCAAACACTGAAAAACTCCCGTCTCTTCCTGGTCTTCAGCAAGACCTAGATTACATACTAGAGCTGATAGCTTTTTTACTCCTTCCAAGCCAGACACAAAATGCCAATATTCTTCATTCACAACCTTCCCTTCCCTCAATCTCACTGCACTTACATGGTATCATATAGCTAAATTGGGGGGCGGAGGAGTGGGAATGGAATGTGGCCCCATTTATATATAAAAAGAGACACTGTAGGGCAGCAGTTACAAGTCCCAGCTGCCAGATGTGACTGTTAATTCACTCTTCTGCATCTCAGTTTCCTGAAAGATAAATACCTTGTTGGGTTTTTGGTGGGAAATAGCAACAAGACATGGAAATCTGAGTCTTTCAGAGTCTGTTCAGAGGCTGTTACTTTACAAATCTACCTATCTTAAATTGTAGAGGGCAAAACTAAGGTCCAACTAGACTGCCTACATCTGGTATACTTAATGAATACTACCTGACAATAGTTTTGAAAGATCACTTCTGACAGATCAATCTGAGCATATAGAAAGACCTCAAAATATTTTGGCATTTGCTTGTAGGCAACAGATAATGAACAAGATGGAAATATCAACCCAGTTTTTTGAGGAAAAGTGCCTGTTATCAAACCTGGGAAAGAAAAGTCGACTATGCTCCGTTAGACTTGAGAAAACAGCCTCTCCACATCATTGCTGGTTCTGTATGTTGCTCCTGGGCAGGGTTAATAAGTCATATTTATCTTATCTTAATTACTAATACTTAATTTTACTAAGTTGGGTCAAATGTTCTTCTATAATCCAGGAAATATTTAAGGCTGGTCATCATTTTCCATTGAGATTCATGAAAACATTTTGTCCTAAGGGATTTCTTGCTGAGATAATCCCCACCTCTGGATTTCTACCTGGTAAACACGCCTCCCACTGGGCGATGAGATTAAGGTGATGGACTGTCGATCAACAAGGTCCAAGGCCTGAATGGCTGATGGGCCAAAGATGAACTTCAGCCTGAGAACAGAGAGGCTACAGGTTAGACTGCCTGTCACCTCAGCAACTTCGCCCAAAGGATCACAACTGGCAGTTGCAAACAATTCATTTCATTTTAATTTGAAAAAAAAAAAAAAAAAAAAAAAAAAAAAAGGCAATATAGGAGAAACCCATGTAATTAACCCCCCAGAATGTTACCATGTTTGCAGATAAAACCCTGTTTATACTTCATAGTGCTTCATAGTGCTTTCATGAAAGGATGAAAACTTCCTTTCATCCCTGAGGCAACTGCATGCATTGGTTGGTTTCCTTCCTGTTAACGTTTTTATATTTTATTATACTTAGTACATTGAATACGTATACTTCGCACGCACACACATATGCATACATATACGTATATATACATGTGGTATTGTAAGTTTTTTCATTACTATTTTTTTTTAATTTTATTTAAATCCAGGGGTGCCTGGGTGGCTCAGTTGGTTGAGCGTTCGATTTCGGCTCAGGTCATGATTTCGCAGTCTGTGGGTTCAAGCCCCACATCGGGCTTTGCGCTGACAGCTTGGAGCCTGGAGCCTGCTTCACATTCTGTGTCTCCCTCTCTTTCTGTTCCTCCCCTGCTTGCATTCTGTCTCTCTCAAAAATAAAGATTAAAACAAAAAGAGTTTTTTTTTAATTTTTATTTAAATCCAGGTCAGTTAACATACAGTGTAATAATGTTTTCAGGATGTCTTATAAGTTTTAAAACATAAAAGATATATTGTAGGCATTTTTGGCAACCTGTTTTTTTTTTTCACTCAATGTGCTTTTAAAAATGATGCATATTATATATATGTATATTCATATATCTATGTATCTATTCATATATCTAGATCTGTTAAGATTTTACTTTATTTTTACTTAAAGTTTATTTATTTTGAAAGAAAGAGCATGAGCAGGGTAGGGGCAGAGAGAGAGGGAGAGAGAGAGAATCCCAAGCAGGCTCCATGCTGTCAGAGCAGAGCCTGATGCGGGGCTCAAGCTCATGAACTGTGAGATCATAACCTGAGCTGAAATCAAGAGTCAAGATGCTTAACCAGCTGAGCCATCTAGGCACCCCAAGGTTTTATTTTTAAGTGATCTCTATACCCAATGTGGGGCTTGAACTCACAACCCCGAGATCAAGAGTTGCACGCTCTACCACCTGAGCCAGCCAGGCACCTCAATATATATTTTTTAATTTAACTTTTGAATAATATACCATTGTATGTACATGCATCTTGTTTTTAAGTACCCTATTGACAGGCATCCTGATCATTTCTATTTCACATTATAAATAATACTCAATTATCCCCGTATATGTCCCTTAGTTCTTCCTGGTTATATAAGTAGAATTGCTGAGCTTTAGGATGTGTGCATTTTTCAACTTTAATAGGTGTTGCCAATAGTTTTCCACAGTGGAAACAGCGCAGCCCCACTAGCATTGTTTAAGAGTTCTATTTTCCCACATCCTAACCAATTACAGTATTGTCAGAGTTTTTCTTTCTTTTTTTAAAAAAATTTTATTTATCTTTGAGACAGAGACAGAGTGTGAGTGGGGGAGGGGCAGAGAGAGAGGGAGACACAGAATCTGTGAACCCGCAAACCGTGAGATCATGACCTGAACTGAAGTCAGACGCTTAACCAACTGAGCCCCCCAGGTGCCCCCCTTGTCCGTTCTTCATAACCCCTTTGGTGGGTGTTAATTTGTTCTTTTTTGCATTAGTAGTAAAGGCTAACCATCTGTTAAATGATCTATCAGAAAAAAATTTGGTATGTGAAGAAATTCTTGTGTTAAGTGAGAAAGGCTGGGCACAAAATTGGTTATTTAGAAACTCTCAATCATGCTAAAATTTTTTTTCTTAATAAAATTCACAATTATCTCAAAATAAAACATTTAATTTAAATAAAAAGGCAATAAACCCAACTGTAACTGATTATCACTGGGTGGTATGATTGTTGACATTTTTCATGTTTTCTTTATTTTCCAATAACATTTTTTTACGGGTAGGAGTTACTTTTATAAACTGGAAAATAAAGTGGCCTGGTTGAACTAAAATGGGAAAGTTAATGTTTTAAAGAACTCATAAGATCTGACACAAAACATAAAGACAGAGCTACTAAGTATTCAAAATTAACATGTTCAACTTCTTCATTTTCCAACAAACCAGTCTCTTTACACAACAAACCATTTGAATGGGAAGAGTTTTAAATTTTTTACATTAAACATATGAAGATTATCTATGGACAAAGAAAAATAAAATTTGGTCATAACTTTATTAATCACAGTTAACTTTAAAAATAAACAAGAATTTTTAAACCTGCTTTTGTAACTTTATTGTGAATACCTCTTCAATGCAGTATTTTTTATATCACTCTTAATAGTTACAAAGAATTCCATTATAAAGATGAATTACTTTACTTTTCCCCAAACTCCATTTTTGGATAATTAGGGTTTATTAAATCTAATGTGAATAACTAGATTGTTTACAGGTGGTTTTTTGTTTTTGCTTTTGCTACTATAAGCAATACTGGATGAATATGCTCACTGTAAAATCTTTATGAACATTCATGATTACCTCCTTGGGATACATTCTTTTCAGTGGAATTTGTAAGCCAAAGAATATGTATGTTTTAAAGCTCTTATAACCTGTTGCCAGATTACTTTCCAATTTACACTCCTACCAGCAGGGTGTCAATTACCCTTTTCTCCATGCTTTTGCCAACATCTAGGACATTCTTACCAACATCTTTTCTGTAGTAGCCAGTTTCATAGATGGAAAGTTGTGTCATTATTTTAATTTGCATATTTATGATCACTAGTAATATTAACCATTTCCCCAAAATTTTTAGCTAATTTACATTTTTATTATTTCCCTATTTTGTTTTAAAAGTAATTTTTTTCTAATGCATAATCTCTGTAAAAAATTTAATAGAGAAAAGGTTAAAACCTTTTCTAAACCTAAATTCTATCTCTTTTCTTTCCTCTAAGAAAGCCACTGGTACAGGTTGGTATATATCTTTCTAGACCTTTAAAACATAAGCATACTGGGGTGCCTGGGTGGCTCGGTTGGTTAAGAGTCCGACTCTTGATTTCAGCTCAGATCATGATCTCATGGTTGTGAGACTGAACCCTGCATCAGGCTCTGCATTAGGCATGGAGCCTGCTTTAGATTCTCTCTCTCTCCCTCTCCCTGTGCACCCCCCCCCACTCTCTCTAAATAAATAAATGTGTACATATGCGTATACAATTAAATGTCACTTATTCCTAGGTAGCTTTCACCTTTTTGTTGCTATTGAAAATAGTTATATTTTTGAACTTTGTACGTGAAGGAAAACAATTTTTAATTTCTGTAATACAAAAACTTTATTCTCTTGGTTTTTAAAAAGTTGTATCATCTACAAATAAGGATAGCTGTCTTTTCCTACTAATAGGTATGCCTCTAATTTCTTTTTCAGGTGTTAGGCTAACAGCTACAACTTCTAGAACAATGTTAAACAAAAATGACAAATAAGACAACACAAGAATGCCCTGTACTGTCAAATGTGGTATTGGCTATTGGACAGATTTTTAACAATCCTGTCAAGAAAATATTGTTCTCAGTTTAGTAAGGGTATTTTTAAAAATCAATAGTTGATGTTGAAAGGATCTGACTTTTAAAACACATTAATGGGGGTGCCTGGGTGGCTTAGTCGGTTGAGTATCCGACTCTTGATTTGGCTCGGTCATGATCTCAATTTGTGAGATCAAGCCCTGCGTCGGACTCTGGGCTGACAGTGCAGAGCCTGCTAGGGATTCTCTCTCTCCCTGTCTCTGCTCCTCCCCTGCTCATGCACACATTCTTTCTGTCAAATTAAATAAACTTAAAAAAAAAATGGTTTAAAAAAAAAAATTACAACAGGATATATACTTACAATGATAAATGCTCATCAGGAACTGAAAACAAGAATGGAAAGAGAGTTAATCATGTTAAACCAGTGACCCCACAGGCACAAAAACCTTTAAAAGACTGTAACCAAAAAGGTTTTTGTGTAAGATGGTGATTAAGTCTATGCATCTAATTTTACTTCTTCCAAACACCTCAATAAACAATAACACAAGGATTTTTTTTTTTTTTTAAACATAAACTCCCAGGGATGAAAGGACAGGGAGAGACAACTGCTAAGATACACTGGAAAATAATTCACAAGACCTGAGGAAACTGAATCCTAAGCCAGCAATGGAGAAAACCAAACAATAATGTACCCTCTTCCCCCCTAAAATCCTCAGAAATTAGTAGCACTGGGTAGTTTTACAGGTAGGGATGAAGCAGGGGGGCTAAAGTAATAAAGACTCTTTTAAAGTAAATTTTAGGGGCTCCTAGGTGGCTCAGTCAAGTGTCCGACTCTTTGATTTCAGCTCAGGTTATGATTTCACAGTTCTGGAGTTCGAGCTCTGTGCTGACAGCTCAGCGCCTGGAGCCTGCTTCGGATTCTATGTCTCCTCTCTCTGCCCCTCCCCCACGTGTGCTCTGTCTCTGTGTCTCTCAAAAATAAATAAACATTAAAAAGAAGAAAAAAAAAACTTTTCAGACATGTAAAGGTTCAAAAAGTACACCTCATGTATTCTTCTTCAGGAAACTACTAGTGTATGTGCTCTATAAAATAAGATAGTAAACCCAGAAAAAGAAAATTGTAGATACACTACACATACAGCTCAACATAGGTAAGAGAATTCCTAGGATAAAAATGGTGAAGGAAGATCTCAGGAGATATCCAGGAGAGCAGTCAGCCCATGTTCGATCAACTCTAAGCTCTAGAAGAGATTTCTATAGGAAAATGAAATTGATAGAACATCTCACTTATCTGAACATCTTGAGCAGGCATTTAGAACACTGGTAAAGAGTCTGAGGTTGAACTGGGGATAAATACACAGAAAATTAAAGAAACAAACACAACCACAACAGCTGTAATTCCAAGGAAAACAAAAAGTTACACAGGAAAGGACAAATAATTGCTTCCTACTGGCCCAAATGCGATACATATCACATCATCATACAAGTGTAAACTCAAATCTTGATCCAAAAAAATTATCATTGAAGGATACAGATCAGGAAGAGTGTATTACTATCTGGGACAAATATTTTGAAATAGCAGAAAAAGGTTCTGCTGGAAATAAACATGAATCAATGGCAGTGGGTCCTCAGTCTCAGCCATGAGCATCAGGGGCACCTATTGGGCCTTCTCCAAGAGTGTCACTGTGTATAGATTAACCCATTCAGACAGACCCGCTTTTTGCAACCACTCTTTGAGCTAATAGATTGGTTTTTCTCCCCATTCTTTTGGGGATTTGAACATGTTTGAATACCTAACCTGGCCTAACCTTTTAAGGGAATATACTATGCTTGTGTTAGCACAGCTTACTTTTCTCAACCCTTTAAAAGCAGGAACTCAAGACAAACCCTTTCGGAGTGCAATCCTTTTTTTTTTTTTTTTTTTTTAAAGTTTATTTATTTTGAGGCGGGAGGGGCGGAGAGGAGAGAGACAATCCCAAGCAGGCTCCACACTGTCAACGCGGAGCCTGACTCTGGGCTTGATCTCACAAAACCAAGAAATCAACCCTAGCCAAAATCAAGAATCCCATGCTTCACCAAATGAGCCACACAGGCGCCCCCAAAGTGCAGTCCTTTTAAAACAAAAGCCACCCAAGTGAATAAGCAGTGGCAGTTTTGAGTCCTGAACTACTATTAAGTGACTCTTTTTACACTGGTTAAGTAATTCTAATTTGTCAATGCATTTTCATTAGAATTATCGTCTTAATACTACTATGCTGAGAACACATCTTGAGATCACCTCGGTGATTTGGTAAGCATAGTCACAGAGCATCCTCTGCTGGTCAGAGAAATAAAAGGTGCTTTCACAAGATCCCGGTTAATTCCAGTTATTGCGTATGCATTTGGGTTTTGCGGCTCTAAAATATTTGGTGCACGCAGGGTACAAGAGGGTTAACTTTAAAATTAATTTAAGATTTTAGGGGCGGGGATACTACAGGCAAGTTGAGTAATTCAGAACCCCACCTTTCCGAACGTCCCTGCAGACTCCCGTGCCTTCCGCTGTCCCAGCCCGATGCCCCTTCTGAAGGGTTTCGGGACAGCGCTCAGCACTTCTGTTCCTACAGCCCCCCTGGCCTGCAGGGAACCACTGCGCTGCTCCCTGAACAAATTTAGATCTTCTTTTCCTTCCTTTCTTTTCTATTTATATTTTACGAACTGGGGCTTGGTAATAGAACCAGACGGAATAAAGAACCCAGAGACCGGGGCACGGAGCGCGGGGGCGGGGCCCCAACCCGGCGCCCCGCAGGCCCAGGGAACTCCGCCTCTCGCCTCCCCGCCCCGTCGTGCCAGGTCCACCGCCCGCAACGCAGCTACGCACGCCCTCCGGCCCGTACTTCGCGCGTTCTCCTGCACCGCCGCGGCCATCTCACTCAGGAGCTCCTCCACGACAGCGGGCAACGTGAGTCCAGCCAAGGCGGCGGCCATGGCGTCATAAACTGTGGCTTCCTAGGAGAGCCCAGAAGGCGCGACGCTTCGACAGGGAAGCGTCCGGGGAAGATTCCCGCCGCCGGCCGGGGGCGGGGCGAGGCGCAGTGACGTCGGCGTGCGTCACGCGCATGCGGGCGGCCACGACGACGCCTCCTCCTGCCTCACGGTCGGGCCAATCCGACGGGCGCTCGGCACTGGGGGCGGGACGGCCTGGGTGCGGGACGGCCTGGGTCCGGCTTGGCCTGCAGTGCGCCGAGGACGCCGCGCGAGCATGTACCGGCTGCTGAGCCCGAGTCTGGGCCGAGGCCTCCTGCGGGCCGCGGGGCGGCGGTGCCGGGACTGCTCGGCGCGCCTGCTCCTGGGGCCGGCAGGAGGCCGCGCGCCTGAGGTGGGGGTGCCGGCATCCCGAGTCGCGCCGCGCGGCCGGGGCCCGGGCCTGCTGCCGCTGCTGGCAGGTGAGGGGCGCGGGCCGGGCGGGGCCGGCCGGGCGGGGACCGGGGCGCAGGCCGGGCCCGGTGACCTCAGAGCCCCTTCCTGCAGCGCTCGCCTGGTTCTCGAGGCCCGCTGCGGCAGAGGAGGAGGTGGAGGAGCGGCAGGGAGCGGGCGGGGCCGCCGCCGAGGGCGCGGTGGACGAGACCGAGGCCGAGATCATTCAGCTGCTGAAGCGAGCCAAGGTGAGGCGGCCTTTGTGAACGAGGCCTGTTGTTGGCTTTGTGGGTGCGCGGTGCGCGCTCCAACTCCCGCAGGCCGGATGGAGGCTCCGAGGGTAGAATTGCCCTGAATTCGATGGGTCATGGCTGGGAGTGGGGGGCGGGGTTGGCATCCGTCCAGGCTTGTCAGACCGCTGCAGTCTCCGGTGCAGATGGAGATGGCACCAGAGGCATCGCGCTTTTATCCAAGCAGAATTAGCGGAAATGTTTTTGTAGTTGTTTTTTTTGTTTGTTTTTTTGTTTTTTGTTTTTTTTTTATCAGGGAGCCAGCCAGGCCGAAAGGACTGGCATAGAGAATTGTGCACGTATGTAGCGTCCTGAAAACGCACCTCCGTGTTCGGTGCGCACGGTTTGGTTCCGATCTTTCTCATGTCTTCCGTTTCTCCACATTCCTTCCTGTTTTCTCCTCAGGTTAGCTTCTCTCTACCATTGGGCTCCCTACCGCCTCGAGGCTCACGACGTCTGAATTTGTATTCGTGTACTGCAGTGTGCAACCGACATCCCGTCTCCACTTTGAAGGCTCACCTACCTCTCAGACTTAACGTGCCCGGAGCTAGACTCTTGATCTTAGTGGCCTCCCTTGCACAGTCCTTCACCGTCTTTTCTTTGCTCACACCTACCCCGTTTTTCATCCTGGAAACCTCGTCATTGTTAAAACTCACAGTACCTTACCACCACCCCTTGGTACACTTACAGCCCAGCTACAAATCCCGTTGCCCCCAAATCTAAAATATTTCTGAAATCTGTCCCTTTTCTCTATCTCCTCTGGTAATCACGCTGGCCTCATTGCCACAGTCTGCCGTCCAGTAGTTTTGCCCGCCCTGTTGCCCGCGTCTCCCTTGCAGTCTACTCTCCATGCAGCAGTCAGAATACCTTGTTTAAAAAATGTAAATTGGGTCATATTACGTTTTTTGAGTGACTTCCCACTGCATTCATGATAAAATCCAAGCTCCTTACCATGGCCTGCAAGACCTTGCATGACCTATGCCACCCTGCCTTCCCACCAATTTGGCAATAATCCCCTGGCTCATCCTTTTCCCTTCACATCTGTTTCCTTTCGTTTCTTGAATGGTTCTTGAAGACCATTCTCTTTAGCCCCTAGTGCCTTTGTTCATCCCCTGCTCTGTGGGTCATTTTCCCCCATAACTTTTCCCCATGATTCCTGGTTGACTCTTTCCTTCCTGCCTCAGTTTAACTGTCGCTTCCTTGGAAGGCTTTTCTGGCTCTCATTTAGAGGAGACCGCTTACTGTTCCTTCCCTTTACCTTTCTTCGTAGTTTTTATCATTAGTTGTAATTAAGCTTATTGGTTCCACAAGTGATTTCCAGCCTGTAGGAAGAGAAGAAAAAGATGTAGGGCAAGCAGCTTCCTTATAAAATATGATGACATTCCTTATAAAATTGCTCACATTCCTGCTGTCTGCATCTGTTGGCCAAATCTTTGTCGTGTGGCTGCACATAGCTGCAAGAGAAGCTGACTGCTCTGTCACCATCGTAGATATAAATCCTGGTGCGTAGCTGGAGTTCAATAAATATTTGGCGAATTGAATGACTAGCTTTCTCCTGTGTGTTGGGACGTATAGCCATATCCACTTCTGTCTGGTAGTGCGTACATCTGCCTTCTTTACCTTTCATTTTCTGTTATTTTCTTTGTTTTCTCTTTTCAGTTGAGCATCATGAAAGATGAGCCAGAAGAGGCTGAGCTAATTTTACATGACGCTCTTCGTCTTGCCTATCAGAGCGATAACAGGAAGGCCATCACTTACACTTATGATTTGGTAACTTTTCTAACCAGTCTGAGCCACTGATGACGAAGGGCGGATCCAAGAGAAGGGTTGCTAGCTCTCCTGATTTACACTCCTGCCCTTCAGGATGTTGTAAAGCTCTTTGGTTTTTGTTTTTACTAAGTTTTCTTTCGGTTTCAAATGTTATTACCCTTGGGGTGTCACTTATACGAAGTCTAAATCCTAGACCGAAGATTAAATATTAGTATTTGTTTCTTCAGTGATGAATGGATCTAGATTTAGTTTGTCATCAACAAAGATTGGGCAGCTATTTGCACTCACACTATTGCTATACTTTGATGTTAGCAGATTAGTGACAAACCTTTCTCTTTGAACTGTTTTTTAATTTAAAGTGTGAAAGCAAAAGGGGGTTATTAGCTGAAAGGTTTTGAAATAAGTAGAACACAGTGCTCTAAACTGAAAACAATTTGTAATTTGCTTTCAGATGGCCAACTTGGCATTTATACGGGGTCAACTTGAAAATGTAAGTAAGTAAATCACTTTGTAGTATTTTGAATTTGTGAAGGACTAGCTTCAAGGGACCTCTGTTAGTAAGGGTGCAGGTGAAGCTGCTATAACAAATAGGCCCCAAAATGGAGTGACTCAAACAAGAAGGTGTATTTCTTTTTAAAGCATTGTTCCATAGGTAGTTACATTAAAGAAGGGTGGGTACCTCTTCTCCATGAAGTGATCCAGAAGCCTGGGTTCTTATTTGTTTATTTATTTTGAAAGAGAGCATGCACATAAGCGGGGTAGGGACAGAGAGAATCTGCCCTGTCAGCACCGAGCCTGGCACGGCACTTGAACGCATCAACAGTGAGACCATGACCTGAGCCAAAATCAAGAATCAGGTGCTCAACCAACTGAGCCACCCAGTTGCCCCTGGGTTCCTTCTAAGATGTGTTCTCATCTGCATAGGTGAGCTGGCTCACCTCCAGCTGCCAGGAAGAAAGAAGAGGGAAGCGGCAGGCAGCTTCCTTATAAAACAGAATTTAGAAACTGTTTCTATTCCTTCTACCTGCATCTCTTGGCCAAAACTTCATCATATGACTGCACCTAGGCACAAAGGAGGCTGACCTGTTAAAACAGAGAAGATTCTATAACTAAAAAAGTGGGGGAGTGAATAATTAGGGGACGGGTTGCAGTCTCTGCCACAGGAGGTTTGGACGAAAGGTTAATTTCTGTAGTTTGTTTCTGCTCATCACAGAATAGTTTTTAAGGAGCCCAGAGGATGTGGGGTCTTGGTATTCTTGTCTGTTTTCCCATCACAAGGATATTTGTGTGTGTGTGTGTGTGTGTGTGTGTGTGTGTGTGTGTGTTTGTGTTGTGTTTTACAAGGGGTGACGGATCAGACTAATACTTAGAATCCAGTGTCATATAGGTAGTGGGGCCCAAGTAAAAGAAAAATCTTTTCCTTATGCTTTTAGGCGGAAAAACTTTTTAAAGCAACCATGAGTTACCTGCTTGGAGGGGGCATGCAACAGGTAAGAACATTGCCTGGGATTGGGCCCCAGCTGAAGCAGATTTCAAAATAGTTTTGCTTCCTGGAAACTCCACCCAGCCACCAACATGTGCTTTGGTGAAAAAAAAAGGTGGATTATTTTTTTTCCCCTTGGACCTGTATAGAAACTACCAGTCTTTCACTCATGCAAAAACATGGTTGCTGAGGAATTCAGTTGCCTAATTCCTCCAAAAGGATAAAAGCTATGGTTTTCAGGCCAAAGGCAGTCTAGACGTTGATCAGAAATAATCCATGAGGAAATTTAACTTGTGAATTTTCTTCATTTTTCTTTCTCCCAACAGGAAGACAATGCGATAATTGAAATCTCTCTAAAGTTGGCCAGTATCTATGCTGCTCAAAATAGGTAAGTATAGTCAGAATCTAGGTGTGGCAGCCACCAGGGAGTTGGGCTGTAGGCAGATAACTTTAACCCCAGGATGTTGTATAATTTTCATTTACCTTCCAGTCATTTGGGTCTCAAAAACACTGGGTGTTACACTCAAAGCGTTGCCTCCCTCATCTTTGAAATCTTTAGTCTTTTCCAAGTTTTGCCCTGCTGTCTCCAGTAGCCTCTTGAATGGGACATACAGCCCTCACGCCTCTGGCTGCACTGTGACAAAGCTAATCGAGCGTTCTGTTCCTGCCTGAACTGGGAAGGGAAGTTACCATTAGAACTTTGGTTTAGCTCTTTCTAGAAGAGGAGGGAGTAATGTAAAAGCTTTTGGGGATAATATACTTGGAAGAAACCATTTTTGGATGGAAGTATCAACAAACCAGGAAATTAGACATAGTTGAATGATAAGGGGGTTGGCATGGGAGTGTCTCAGTGGCTAGTCCAGGAGACAGTGTTTTTAAAGCATGTAAAGGTGATCAGGTAGCTGGGTTTTAAGAAGGGGAAAGATCTAGGAGTGGAGAAGTGACCTCTGGATAAGTAGGATAGGAAATCAATGCTCATTTAAAAGTACTATGTGAGTTCTAAGTCCTTATAAAGGAGAATCTTCATGCTTCACAGGAAAGGCTTTGGAAAATAATGTGGATGTGTGCCAGAGGTCTCAGGAACACTGATGAGTGAGGCCTGGTGCCTTTCATCCTGTCTAGGCGGAGTTCAAAGGAGAAATATCTAAGATGTAAGCAGAGAACTCCTCTAGAGAGTTAGATCTTGTAGAGTATATTTAAGGGAAGATCTAAGACTAGCTTTTCCTTGGGTTTTTAGCTGCTACAGTAGTTGGGTACCAGAAGTTTGGAATGACCTCACACCTAATGCTGTAATGAGTGCTTATTGAGGCCAGGGGCTCTGGCACAGGTCCCTGCTGCCCTGGTCACCAGCTCCTTCATTCTCAGCAGAACCTGCATTTGGTTGGACACTAGATAGGCTAGAGCTTCTGAGGGCCTTTGACTTCAAGTCTTTGGAGGAGCTTTGAGGTTGGCCTGTGCTGGGGAACATTGCACCTGGGATCTGTCTCTTTTGGAGGAGTAACAGTCAGGCCTGGATGTCGATGGGGTATGAACTTCTAGGATAAAAGAAGCCCAAAGCCAATCCCATTGGAGAGTAAGATGAACTCCTGCTCTCGTACAGGCACAAGTGTATTAGTAGCCCCTGGTAATTAGCCTGTGAGTTCCTCTATACCCTTCTCAAAAGTATTTTTTCATTTAGTTTGATTAAGAGAAGCATGAGGCAGAAGATACATAACTAGACTTGGGGCTTAGGAATGCTGATAATAGTAGGGGGATTGTTAATAGGCATTTTACTCTGACTAGAAACATCTAGTGGGCAGCCTCCCCCTGCTCCATGACCTGGCTGGATAGGGTCCCTCCTGCCAAGGTTTGGGTCTGGAGAAACTTCTGTTCTGAGAACAGAATACAACGTGGGGTCATCTGTTATCCCCTGGCAAAGCACTAGAGGAGAAGGGGCAATCTTTGTAGTGGTGCTTCGCCATAGCAGAAGGGCAAAAACCGGGGGTGAGCTTCTGGAAGGAGAAGGAATTTCTGTTGTGTTTGTGCATCTCTTTATAGAAACCAGCAGTTGACAGTTGGTTGTCTTTAGGTCAGTCTGCCTGACGTTTGGGTGTCCTCTCCAATTGATTCAGGGTCCAGGATTAGAGAAGGCTTAATGCCTTCTACTGCCATAATTAGGAATTCCATTTACATAAAAGAAGCTTTCGTTGAAGACGTACAGGTTGGAAAGCTAATAAAGTTAATAAACCTCTCCAGAAGTTGCATGAGATCAGTAGTTAGAACCCTTGGTGCAGGGGGCCTTAGCCTCTGTTCATAATAGTATTACTTTGAGCGGGTGTAAGACTCCATTTCCCAAATGGAGAAACTGAGTCACTTGAAACTATTAGTGGGAGATGATGCTTCCCATCTTACACTTCCTAACAATATTCAAACCCAAGCTGGGAAAATGAGAATAAAAGAGGAGTTTGTGAAAAGGTGAACAGCCGATTGCTGATCTTTGCTTTACAGACAGGAATTTGCTCTTGCTGGCTATGAATTCTGCATTTCAACCCTAGAGGAAAAAATTGAAAGAGAAAAGGAATTAGCAGAAGACATTTTGTCAGGTAGGGAGACCTGACTGTTTTCTGGACATTGCCTTTTTTGCCACAGAGCTTCATTGTTATATTGTGATAAAGGGAAAGGTATCTGAATTGGGGGAGGGCAGGTTATCCATTTGGGGAATTAAGTGGCAATTTTTAAGATCTCAGCAGAGGGTTTGGGATAAGATGTCTTGTTTAAATAACTTGACCTTGTTTGTTTGTTTGTTTGTTTGTTTGTTTAACCCTTCAGTGGTTCATTTATTTGTTGACCTTTATTGTATATGACCTCTGGAAAATTGGGGAGCAGAAAGGAGAGGTCTTTTTCTTTTCTCTTGGTTCAGCTACCAGTCACAATGCTAATTAATTACCTTTTGGTACCAGATATGTACGAAGTCATAAAAGATGAAGAGAAAACTGAGGTCTTTGCAGTTCATCCTCATTACGAGGGAAGAGTGTAAAGAACGATTTTAGGAACAAAATGGAATGGTCAGGAAGCTCTAGCTCTCGACCATTTGGGTTTCTTAATATGGTTTGAAATATTGGGAATTATCAGATTCGACACTGATTTCATAATTCTTCACACATACGATGCCAAGAGCTACAAGATGCTTTAGAGAAAGAGCAGTCAACTCTTGTCCCTAAAGCAATAAATAGGACTTGAAAGAGTTATTTTTATTCAGTTGTCTTCCAGTTTTCTCTTAAACATAAACCAGTTTTTCTGTTCCACCACTGCACCGAAGCCACCCTTATCGAGGTTGCCAGTTCTCAAGCCTTACCTTCCCTACGCTGCTTATTAGCAGCTCTGACCCAGGTGATCTTTGACTCCTACTGGACACGCTTTATTCGCTTGGCTTCTGGGACACCTTACCCATCACTCACCTTCCCCTTCGCCACCTCTAAAGTTAGCAGACCTTGGGGCTCACACCCTAGGAGATAACATATAGCCCCATACCTTTAAATATCAGTTATACATCTTCATCCCCAACTTACACATGGACTACAGACATGAACTGGGTAAGACTGTCTACCTGACATCTTGACCTGAATGTCTGCTGGTCAGTTCACACATAACATGTTTGAAATCGGTCTCCTGGTTTCTGCCACTCACAAACTTGCTTCTCTGCCAGTCAGCCCAGTCAGTAAATGGCACCACCATTCATTCACTTGCTTAGCCAAGAACCTAAGAATCACCTGTGATTCCTTCCTCATTCCTGATTGTATTTCATCAAGTTACCTTAGATCAGGCATCAAAATGTATCCATATCAGACCATGTCTCATCCTCTTGCCCTACTGCTTTGGTGCAGGATATTATTGTTTCTTGCCCAAACACCTGTAAATAGTCTCCTCAAGAGTTTTCCTGCTTCCTTGCCTTACACAGTCTGTTATCCATACCACAGGCAGAGTGATCTTTTAAACCTCAGTGCCTTTGCATCACCTTTAGAATAAATTTCAGAATCCCTGCATGGACTTGTAAAGTCCTATATGATTTGACCCCTGCCTACTTCTACATCACCTACTGCTTCTCTCCCCCTTGCTCTTTCCACTTTGACCACACTGGTCCTGCTGTTCTGTACAAGCTCATTGCCATCTCAAGGCCTTTTCACTTATTCCCTCCACCTAGCCTGTTCTCCCATATCTTTGCGTGGCCATTCAGTTTTCTGCTCAGGTATCACTTCCTCAGGAGGCCTACCCTAACTAAAACAATCATCTCTTCCCACCTATCCTTTACTTTTCTTCCTCACACTTGAAGGTAGGAGTGTGTGTGTGTGTCCATTGTGTGCTCATGTTTGTATGGCCACTAAAAGTATATTTTTGTTCCAAGTGTTGTTAGTATTTGTCTTCCCTAGCAAAGAAGGATAGAGATTTCAGCTGTTTTGTTCACTGCTAAATCCTTGGTACTAGAGCAGTGCCTGACATGTAATACAGGCTCAGCACTTGTTGAATGTAGGAACAGAAGACCAGATAGGCCCCAAGTAAAGTTTCAGTGTGGTGTAGAGGCTTTGAGGGAATTCACAAAAGATGTAAAGATGAGTCTAGCTATCAAATGATTCACTTTTGAACTATCTACACTCTTGCTGTCTTTCATTTGTAGAATTGACTATGGACAGTTCCTTAAAAGTTTCTGACTTCCAGAAATAATACCAGTGCATGTAAGACAATTTAGGAAAGCATTAGGAAGGAGGTGACAAAGATCATCTGTAATACTACAAAGAAGGAACTACTGTTTATTTTCTGGTGTATGTCTTTCCAGACTTGTTTTTCCCCCCTGTGCTGTTTACATCTTAAGAAATAAGGGATCATACTGTATATGCTTTTTTTTTTTTTTTTTTAACTTATATTGTGAAAACACTTTTTTCTAGGCACAGGAACTCTTGTTGGAAAGAGCAGACTAATTTCTGTTATAAACATGGTTTTTACATTTTACTAGTTTCGCAATAAAGAAAATGTTACATTATTCTTAATCCTATTTTTTCTAAAGAAATATCACTCAATTATTTATTTATTTTTAAAATATATATAGAGAGAGGTGGGGAGGGGCAGAGAGAGAGGGAGACCTAGAATCCCAAGCAGGCTCTGGGTTGCCTCTACAGAGCCAGATGTGGGGCCTAACTCATGAACTGTGAGATCATGACCTGAGCTGAAATCAAGAGTCGGAAGCTTAACCGACTGAGCCACCCAGGCACCCCTGTTATCACTCAGTTTTAAACAAAGTACATCCGTTGTCAAATTTATGTGCTTTTTATTTACCTTACTAACTATCCCAAAAGCGTATTACTTAAGTTCATGTATAAACTTGGTCTAGGGTACTTATTTTGTTTCTCATATTATAAATATGTACGTAATTACGGAGGAAGTACGCATACAAAATTACGTGAAAACAGTAGATTACTAAACAGTGTAGGAGGAGCCCACTTTTCTAGAATATGTAGATTAAATGTAGGTATAGAGCAGGACTGAATGATACCAAAATGTAGACAGTGATTACTTCTGGTTGGTAGATTTATAGGGCATTTATGTCTTATGTGTGTTTTTCTGGATATTCTATCATTTTTTGGAACAATTTTTTAAATTACTCTTATCTATATAGTATCAAAAGTCAAAGGATGTTATAAGACTTAATTTAAAAACATTTCCTTGCCACACATCTTCCTAGGGTAATTTTCAACTCTTAACCAATTTCTTCCGGTATTTTCCTTCATATTTCTAAAATAACATATAAAACTATTTTTGTAATTAGTATTTTTAGACTGTTAGCTTACAGAAAAGGGAACATTTAGTGTAACTTTTGGTCGTGTCTATAATATTACGAATATATGAGTAGCGTTAGCTGTTGAGCCAAGTAACGTGATCATGTAGTTGCATTTTCTTTTGTGTGAACAACTCTTTGTTTCCTCTGAAGTCAGTAGTTAACTGGATTTTTTCTGTTGCTTGTTTTTTATGTGTTTGACAAGTTCTTCTGTTAACCTTAGTATTTGCTCTGAATTCCTAAGGTTTTCTGGGGCTCTGGTACCTACTGGCTTACTTCTCGCTGGCCTAGCTGTTTGTAGCATTCAGTCCTGATCTTTCTGTCATGTGCTCAGTCACTTCCCACTTTTTTCTCTGCTTGTCACCGCCCACAATTTTTGATCTTTGTCATCTCTACTTTGCTTTTCCTTGTAACTTTCTATCTTTTTCATCCTTTTACATTGATTTTAGTGATGTTTTCGAGGGAGGAGAGATAAATGAATGCATGTGTTCTGTCCAGAACAGTATGTCCTCATGAAAGTGAGGTCTTCTGTTATGAAATAAGACAGATACCGAGCACTGAAATTCCGGGTCAGAGGAGCACATTTTAAACTTGTTGGCGCATATTGCAAAATTGCCCTCAAAAGGACTGTATTAATTTACATTTTCAGGATCTGCTCATTTATTTGCTTTGTGACTTTGGTCAAATTAATTAATCCCTGTGTGCTTTTGATCCTCAGGATGGGGGTGAGAGCAGTACTCTCTCGTAGGGACCAGTAGGAAGACTGAATGAGTTAATATCCATAGAGCGCTTAGAACAATGTACACAGAGAGCAGCTACTCAAGTGTTAGCCATTGTTAGTTTTTATTATCGTGATAAGGCATTGTGCCACTTCTCCACAAAGCTCACTGATTTTTATAACCTTTGCCAGATTGGCGATATGGCAGTGATGCATTAACTACCATTTCTTTGATAAGCAATGGGGTTGATCTTTTATTGGTGCTGTTTTGTAAAAATATTAACTCTATCCTGTCAGGTTTTTTCTTCTCCCTTACTTGTGTCTATAGAGCTCAGAGCTTTGGGTTTTTTTGTTTAATTAAAAAAATGCATGAGGGGCACCTGGGTAGCTCAGTCAGCTAAGTGTCCAACTCTTGATTTCTGCTCAGGTCATGATCTCATGGTTCGTGAGTTTGAGCCCCACATTGGGCTCTGCGCTGGCAATGCGGAGCCTGCTTGGGATC